CCCCAAGTCCCTCCTTAAGTCCCCAAGTCCCTTCTAAAGTCCCCAAGTCCCTCCTTAAGTCCCCAAGTCCCTTCTAAAGTCCCCGAGTCCCTTCTAAAGTCCCCGAGACCCGAGTCCCCTTTGGCGCGGACCGGAGACGTTGAAGTAGGCCGCAGTGGCGGAGACAGAAAGGCTTTTGGGTCTCCAACAGGCGGCGTAGAGCCCCGTGTTGTAAAGAGTGAACTCGGGAAGATGCAGAGTGGAGCCTGTCTCCGAAGAGTCGACGGAGACAGGCTCGAGGACTGCTGCAGTGGCTGTCCCCATTTGGAGGGCCCCCGCGAGGGCCCTCTGTCCCTGGGGCCCCCGGCGGAGGAGACTCTGCATGGTCTCTGCGAAGGAGGAGACACTGGCGTCGCAGTCGAAGTCCGCAGCCATCACGGAGACACTGTCTCCTTTTGAAAACCCAAAGCCCCCCAAACTCACTTTCCGCGCTTCTCCAGCTTCCATCTCGAAAGTGGTTTTCTCCGCAAACGGGCCTGCAAGCATGCGCAGCTTCCGGTGTACGTACACCCCACGCCCCGCACCCCGCTGTACAGACACCCCAGCCAGCTGGCAAAAGACACCGCAGCTCCTGCCTCCGGCTGTCTCTACACCCCCGCCTCCGCCGCCCCTGCGTCTGCGGTGTCTCTACAGCACAGCGTGCGCGCACGCATGCACGCATGCATGCATGCATGCACGCATGCATGCACGTATGCACGCATGCATGCACGCATGCATGCACGTGTGCACGCATGCATGCACGCATGCATGCACGCATGCATGCACGCATGCATGCACGTATGCATGCACGTATGAGCGCATGCACGCATGCATGCACGCATGCATGCACGCATGCATGCACGCATGCACGCATGCACGCATGCAGGGAGTAGTTGTGGGGCTTGGAGCACCTGCGCTCCTGGACGAGGAAGTAAGAAAAGCTGCAGAGACAAACTGCGTAGGCCCCTGCAGCCCCGGCCTTGACCTCCACGTCGCCCCACACCAGCGCAGCAAGTGTCCCCTTGGAGACAAAGGGAAAGAGTCTCTTGGCAATGCTGTGGGGCGCGTTGTGCACAGTGATGTCTTGGGAGGCCGCGGGGCCCCCGCAAGGGTCTCCTGTCTCCTCCGCAGCTTTGAAAAATGCTATGTCGTAGTAAGGCCCCGCAAACCGCCCCTCCACCACTATGTCGAACAAGTCCCCGGGCTGCACCAGCTGCGTCCGCGGGCCAGCAGCAGCAGCAGCAGCAGCAGCAGCAGCAGCAGCAGCAGCAGCAGCAGCAGCAGGTCACCGAGGGGGTCGCAGACGTCGGAGCGCAAGTCGGGGTCCGTGGTGAAGCACCAAATGTAGTTGGCCCCAGCAGCAGCTCTGCAGAAGTTGTGGTTTTGCTGCAGCAGCACTTGGTGCTTGTGGGGTGTCTGTACACTCCAGTTCTGACACTCCCGCCCCAAACGCGTCCGCGTTTGACACCCCACATATCCCTCGCCAGCTGTCCCTTCGCGGCAGCCTGCGCCCAAACGCACTGTCCCTACACCCGCCTCCTCAGCTGTACGTACACCCCAGCTGGACGTACACCCCAGCTGGACGTACACCCCAGCTGTACGTACACCCCAGCTGGACGTACACACCAGCTGTATGTACACCCGCCTCCCCAGCTGTACGTACACCCCAGCTGTACGTACAACCCAGCTGGACCTACGCCCGCCTCCCCAGCTGTACATACACCCCAGCTGTACGTACACCCCAGCTGTATGTACACCCGAGCTGTGCATACACCCCAGCTGTACGTACACCCCAGCTGTACGTACACCCCAGCTCCTCAGCTGGGCGTACACCCCAGCTGGACGGAAACCTCAGGTGTACGTACACCGCGGCGCCGCCCCACGCTCAGGTGTACGTACACCGCAGCGCTCCCCACCCCGACCCCATTTTGCTCTTTTGCAAATGCAAACGCAAGGCAATATCCATTTTAGTATTTGTTTTCATTCTTATTAATATTTACTTTTAGTTTTAGACTTTGGCAATTCTACAAGTTTTATTTTTTATATTTAGTTTTAGACTTTGGCAATTCTACAGCTGGCCCTTTATTTGCATTTTTTCAACAAAAAGAACTACTCAGCGCACGCTCAGACACCTGGACACTGCCCACAACATCCGCGCATGCATGCATGCATGCCTTCATGCATGCATGCATGCATGCATGCATGCATGCATGCACACATGCATGAAGGCATGCATAGATGCATGCATGCACACATGCATGCATGCATGCATGCATAGATGCATGCATGCATGCATGCACGCATTTCATCAACAAAACTGCAACCAGTGCACACGTTCGCGTGCATGCATGGAGGTGTGTGCATGCATGCAGGTGCATGCATTCATGCAGGTGAGTGCATGCATGCAGGCGCATGCATGCATGCAGGTGAGTGCATGCATGCAGGTGAGCGCATGCAGTGTTTGGGGCTGACTGCAGTTGGGGGGAATTTTGGACTTGACGAAAGAGTGGAAAGAACTTCCGGGGCCTTTGAGGAGAAGAGCGGCCTTTGGAGACAGACAGCGCATTGACTCTCCGCAGGACCCCACACAATGGAGACTGTCGATGAACTCCATCTCGTCGGAGATAGGGAGACACACCCAGTGTTCTGCTGCTGCTGCTGTTGCTGCTGCTGCTGCTGCTGCTGA